CAGGTTTTTTTTGTGACTGGTTTTGAAAGAAGTCTACTATACTCACTGGTGGCCACCTAAGTGTTCATGCTGTTTTATTTTTGGATGCACGGTGTGTCATTTCAAAGATGACACAAGAAAGGCTTTACTTTGATCAAAACTTAAACAGGTTTGGAAAATTTTGACTCCACTTAGGTATGATGATATAATTCCTGCATGTTGGCTAGCTGCTCTTTGGCAGCAACAGGAAAGGTAGAAGGAACTCTTGGCTAGATATAATGAATGTGGCATTGACAGAAAAGACATGCAGTTTCTGGGACCCTTGAATAGAGAGACATAAAGGTCTTGAACATCAAGCTCTCACTGGCAAAATTGATGGCAAAGGAGGCAGAGGTAGACCCGGAGCAACCTACTAGGAGAGCCAAAACAGATTGGTGACAGGGAAAGATCGGGATAATGTAGCTCTTTTGAGAGCATCAAAACAAAGGAATGAACACTGGTGTCTTTTGTAGATCTGGCACCTGATGATGATGATGATAGATTTTCCTTTCCAAAAAGGGTATTATTAGAACTGTTCTGCTTGTTCAGTGAATAAAATTCTGACTTCTTTTTAAAAAATGATTTTAAGACCCAAGTTCCTGTTTGTATTTTCCCAAGCCTGTATTATGAGTGTTACCAGCTTGTCATTATTTTGCTATGTAGAGGTACATGAAGGAAACTGGCCTCTTGACACTTCTACATCATATTTTTTTACAATTTACACGAGTTTGTTCTTTTCTGATGGGGGTGGGGAGGAAGGTCTTTTTGAGTCTTTAAATACCAGCAACTACTGTCAAGTCCACTCAAAAAAAGCATGGTCAATCACTCAACTGTGGTAAACTGAAAGAAAAGAAAATCCCCCAATTTTTTTTCTATGCTGTTTGAGCAATCTCTCTCTGTAACCCAAAAACATGGTTAAACTGTTAGACTGAAAAAAATTTGGCAATCCGGCTGAGTTTGGTTTAAGTGGAGTCTTACGTATTAATTTGTTCTTTAAAAAAAAAAAGAGTAGGCTACCATTTGCAACACTGTGTGAGATACAATAGCTGCAGCTAAAACCTGTTCCCTGCTGTCTCCTCAGACCCCGTTGCAGAGCGAGACAGTGGATGTTGCGGTGTTCTGTCTGTCGCTGATGGGGACCAACCTAAACGATTATCTCCGGGAGGCGAACCGAGTGCTCAAGACAGGGTAGGTGAACAATCTGTAGGCCTACTTGTTTTTGTGGGGGCTACTGGCTTCAGGCAGCTTCTCACAATTTGTTAGTGATACTGTTAGTCTTTTGGGTCTCTCTTTCAATAGAAAGGTTTTCTCTTATCTTAGTAGCTGAAAGATTTCATGATATTATATTTTTATTTGAGGCTTTAAAACTAGTCAAGTCCACTCTAACAAAGCATGGTCAATCATTCAACTGTGGTAAACTGAAAGAAAAGAAAATCCCCCATTTTTTTTTCTATGCTGTTTGAGCAATCTCTCTCTGTAATCCAAAAACATGGTTAAACTGTTAGACTGAAACAAATTGCCCTGAAGTTTACACATATATATATGTAAACTTCAGGGCAATTTGTTTCTGACGGTCCTTGTAAAAAACAACCTGATACAGTTCAATAAATGTGACTTGGATTTTGTTCTACCCAAGATTGCTTGAAGCTGAGTTAATATTCTTCAAGTAGAACACTTTAAGAATTTCTGTGTTTTTTGTCAGTCAGTGTTGAGGTTGCTTTGCAATGATAAATTGAAGATCTAAGAACAAGAATGTGCCAAATGGCAAATTGAGTTCTTGTTATTATTATAATGGCAATGGTATCTATTTAATAGAGAAGACTTTCCCGCTTCTATTTAATAGTGTACATGACACTCTACCATTTACAGTGTCGCGAGAAAAAAAGAAAACTTGCTGGGTATTCAAAAGCAAATATAGACCTTAAGTCCATGTTTTTAACCATTTTTCTCAGTTTAACAAAAATTTACTTTGGCACAGTCTTGTTCTCAGGTCTTCAATTTTGAAATCTTTTATCACATTTTAAAAAGTCCTTACTTTTCTATCCAAATCCAGTGGTCTCTTGCGCTGATTTTTTAACTTGATGTTGGGATATAAAATGTTTTGGTGTTCTGAAGTTGATATTTGTTTGGTTAGAGTGCCTCTGGTGTCTGGTATTGTTGGCAACAAATTTGTGCATTCCATTTGATAGGGATATTAAAGTGGTAGTGGTATGGGTTCAGACTGAGTTTGCGATTTGGCTGTATTTCTGGTGAAATTTGGTTAAAGTACACTTTCAGTGGGCTTTGGTGTAGTGTAATGACAGATGGCAGTGAAAGATGTAATTTTATCTCTTGGGAGAATTCGAACAGTAGTTTAGTTTGTCAAAAGCAGTAGTGGGGGACTTCTTGAAATTTGTGTATTATTTGAAAATTTTAGGCTAGTAGCCTACTTTTTTTCAAGGGATTTGTAATTTATTACATCATGTATGAAGTAGGAACTGATAATAATTTACAGAGGACAGAGAGCTTTGCATAAGTTCTACACTGTAGATTTGTAGATTGTATGATAATGTTTGTTTTGATTAATGTTTGGTGTTTTTACAGAGGCATCCTGAAGCTTGCTGAGGTGACAAGTCGATTCAGTGGACTCAGCCAGTTCATTAATGGTGTGACCAGTCAAGGGTTTCTACTGCTGAACAAGGTGAGAAGTCATTAAGAGGTTTCCATTGTTTTCACTCATGTCCTAATGTGTAATAATACATTATATGTGTCACGACAAGGTGGAATCAGGCACTTGTCAATTTTAGGGCATATAGAGTTATTTGTATCATCTAAAAGCTTGTTCATTTGTCTTGCATTTGGCAAAAAAAACAAAACAACCCATTTACCGTGAAGACAAGTGGAGATTTTTGTGATTGAAGGAGGTCATGGGGGTCGCCTGGTGTTGAAGGTAAAATTTGTGAGAAAATGACGGACAAGGTTTGGTGACTTCCAAAGATTGAGTGTCCTTGGAAACTGGAAATTTACATTTTTTGTGCCTTTGATCAACATTTTTGAGTAATAATCCACACAGAAATGTGGTTTTCAATGGACATAAAAAGTGTTGAGCCAGACAAAGAAATTTCGCAAAAAAAAGTTGCTCAACAGTCAGAAAAATGCCATTTCTTTGATTACATTATTTTGACAAGTGCCTGATTCCATCACGCTGCCTCATATTATATATGGCTGAGAAAGTTCTTCTTTATCATACTTTATGTAATTGAACTGGTTTTCTTGTTAATCATAAATGCTTTCTGTGCGTGTGAGGTTTACTTTCAGTAATCATGTCATCGATGTACAGTGCTCAGAGTCAGAGCTTATGTATGAGAAAGGGCACTCTAAGTGGAGTCTATTACAATAATTACAATTAGGGTCATTTGTTTTGAGTTTAATTTTTTTACCCTAAGAATCTAAATTCACATCCCTCTCATATTATATACAACAGAGTGGAGAATCTCGCATTGTACAGTGCTCAGATTCAGATCCTTCCAGGGATTAGGCACTGTATATAAATTTCATTATTATTATTACGGTACTATTGTTATTATTTTTTTCATTTTTTTCACAGAGGGACCTAACCCAGATGTTTTATCTGATGGACTTCAAGAAAGTGAAGACAGTGAAGAAGTCCCCTCCTGGTGCCGAGCTCAAACTCAAGCCATGCATTTACAAGCGGAGATGATGAGTTTGGTCCAGTTGGGGCTGTGGGTGGGGGGTCATGGACGATCAGTTTGCTTGCAGTGTATGCAAGTCCAAGGTAGTCATTGTCATTTTTTCAAGAATACTTGTATTGTCTTCTGGGAATAGGTGCAAGTTTTGGGGGGGGGGGGGGGGGGGGGGTGTTGACAGTTATATGAACCAATGTGAAAAAATCAAGTCAAGCCTTTGGGGGAAGCTGTTCTATTTATGTCAGACAAGTTCTGAAGGGCGCAAAAGATGGAAAGCTGTTAATCACTTTTCAAACTTTGTTGGCAAAAAAGCATAGCCTATTTCCTTGTGGCATTACCTTTATTTTACAGGTAGCCATTTATGACTTTCTTTAATACAGAGACACTGTGACAATGTGACTTATGTCGCTGTGTTGTCTACTGTCTGTCAAGAATACGCTGTGAAATGTGCCAGCCTTGTACTCTGGTAGACTGAAATGATTATGTTCAAATATTTGCATGCAGGAACATAAAATTTGTTTTCCTGTCTTATTTCGTTTGGTGCAATGGTGATATAACGAACTGTAAATAAACATTTTAAATGTATTGGGGCATTGTTGGATCATCTATGGAAGATAGGTGAACTTTCTCTTAATACTTCCTACATTATTGCAAGAAAAATGAATAACTCCATTTGACCTTGCTATTCTCTTCAGGGTGAGTAAAAGTATAAGTATAAGAGTTGCTAACGTTTGGAACAATGATGACATTTAGATGTGCATAAATATTATGAACAACTGGAGGTGCATTTTGGAATTGGAAGCAAAATTTGTTAACCAAATGTTGAAATAGTGCCCAGAAATGTCATTTGAATTGGAATGTACAGGTTATTATCGACATTTTACTCAGAAAATTTGTCGACCAAATAAAGTTTTATTTGTACATATACAAAATCCTGTTGTTGTTAATCTTTGAGTTCCTTTGTTTTGTTTTAGTAAGTGTTTTACGTCACTTGCAATACAATTAGGTCATATAATTGCCAAAGATTAGTAGATATGTTACAAAAGATTACCAAACACAAAAAAGAAGGAAGAGATATTAGAATGATAGATGTTTGATAGAAAAAAAGGAGCCAACCACACCAGAGCACCCGTCAACCACTCACTGAGTTCCTTTGAGGAAAATTTTTGTTTGTTTTTTTTTGGGGGGGGGGGGGGTATACTGCTTTAGAATTTCGAGTAAACTTCTGTGTAGTCCAAATTCAATAAATGTGAGATTTATTGCTCCATTCCGTCAAGCCTTACAAGTAATATTATATCAATAAAGCACTCTCTTTCCTTTTTGAAAAATATTGTGATCCTCTGCTTTGTATTAAATTTGAACAAATCTTATTATGCTGTGCCCAACATAATCATCATCAGCCCCCGTGGACACTTTTTAGATCAGATATTAAGGAAAGCGGACTGCCCTTTTCAGATAAATGAAGGCAAGGTTACAGTGATCTTATAACCCAAGCTGTGAACTTGTGCATGGCATGAGGGGTTTTTTTGTGAGTGTTTTACGGCACCTGCAATTGCAACGGTCATATAGGACACATTAAAACATTTTCAGGGCTCTCGTGGCCTAGAGGTTAAGATGTTGGCTTCTCATTCAAAGGTCCCGGGTTCAAATCCGGGTAGTGACTGAAAAATTTTCTTCTCTAAAATTGTCTGCTTTCTCCTCCTTTCCTGCTCTCTACCAATGTTCTGTCATCTGCTTTCGTCTCCACTTTCTGCCCCCACCACCTCACCTCCTTTGCCCCCCTCCTCTGGGCTCCTGACTTTCTGCAGCCTTTCTACTGCTACCCCTTGGCTCTTTCTTACTGCTGTCTTTCAGCCACACCCCTGATCTTCTGGTAGGAAAGATCTACACCTAACCTTCTCGGACAAAGGCGAAAAATATCGGAGGACCTGTGTGCACGTTAAAATCCATAAGCGTAGGCTTCGGCCACCACCCGAGCAAAATTTAAAATTTCCTGCCCACTGAAAAAGTTTAATGTGTCCTGCGCACTCATATGACGTTATGCAGATTGCAAGCGCCGTAAAACACTTACCCCCCCCCCCCCCCCCCAAAAAAAAACCCATTGTCAGTTTGGTAGGAATTTTTAATTTCGCCCAGGTGGTGGCCAAAAGCCTACTCCTATCGATTTTAGAACCACCAAGGGATCTTTAACGTGCGCAACTTGCACACGGGACCTCCAAAATTGTTTCGCCCTTATCTGAGAAGGCTAGGTGTGAGATCTTACCTACCCTAAGATCAGGGATGTGGCTGAAAGACAGCAATAAGAAGGGACCAAGGAAGGAGTAGCATAAGAAAAATTGGCAAAATGAGTCAGGAGCCTCATGGAAGGGGCAAAGGGGTGGGGGCAGAAATCAGATGACATCATGATTCGAGTTAGAGAGCAGAAGAGGTCAAAGGAGAGTATTTTAGAGAAAAAAAATTCCTGCGCTGTCGGGTTTCGAATCCAGGACCTATTGAATGAGAGTCTAACATCGTAACCTAGTAGTCAAGGTCATGAGAGCACCTGACTTGAATTTGAGAGTGCACAGTCCAGCTGACTTGTACAAAAAATTATATTCTGATGTTGTGGATGGGTTCCATATTGTCAGCCAAGAGCTAAACGCATAGGTCATGATTTCAGCAAGATAACTTTTTTTGTTGTGAAGTGACAAAGTGGGGAACAATTCTTAAAAAATACTAAGCATCTACAATCAGAGAACATCCTGTTATGTGTAGGGGATATTTCTTTTCATTCCCCTGTAACCTCTGACCCCAGTAAAATAAATGCAAGGTGTGTGCTCTGATCTCCTAGCAATTGCAAAACTCACATTTAATATACAATACTCCTAAACTTTGCTGGCTTAAAAATCTGTTTGACCACAGATCAGAGAAAGTACTTCCCTCTTAACCTTTTTTTCCGCTCATGTAGGTGTGTTTTTTTTGCCCCCATCAGCACTAGGTGGTTGGAGGGTGAGACTGGTAGTTCCGTTTCTTTCCGTCTGTTGTTTCTATCTGTTTTGTCTTACTTTTTCCCCAGCACTAAATGATCATTATTGGGTCGATGTGCTTCTTTTTACTCAAACAAACAAACAATACGTATTACTTTGCTATTAAGATCATTTCATGGGCTTCCACCCTGCCTGTTTGGACCAACCCAGGCTGAGAGGAATACAACATCCAAGCACAAAGACTTGAGATACTCTATATAAATTTTTCCCCAACTGACCTTCTGACCTTGACCATTACACCACTGATGTCAGTCTCTCACCCTTGTGTCTAAGAGTTTATAGCATTTATAACACGATTAAGTCATATAAAAGCTGAAGATTAGAGGTGTAACAAGAGAGTTACAAACACAAAAAGGAAGGAGAGATGAGAACAATAGATGTTCGATAGTAAAGAAGAAGCAAACCAAACCAGAGCATCCGCCAACCACCCGCTCTCATCCTTGCTCAAGCTGAAGCTCAAAATTTGTGGGAAGCAAGTAAGACTTCAAGCAGCCCTTTTCTTCTGACATAGCACAGCCAACAGCAGTTAACTAAAAAGTAATCCAATTAGAAATTTCAACCAAAAGACAAGGCTTTCAAGCCAAATGAAACAAAGTTTTTCAATAATTGCAGACTTGTTAAGAGGAATGAGAGATTGAGGGAGTCCGCAGATACAGGTAAGAAAGTAAGAAAAGATAAAGACAAAGAAACAAAGAAATCACTTCATAATCAACTACATAGCACACACTATTAGATCTCTAGTAAGAATTTCTCTTTGTAGGATCAGTAAAGTATGTCATTGTTGTTATGGAATCACCCCCACCACCCATAACAAAAAGGACAACAACAACAAAAAACAGTGTGAATTTAACAAAGTACCCCATAAATTATAAAACTTTAAACTGTGAGACTAAACAAAGGAACTCGGAAAGGTCAGTACTTTGTTATCACAAATGCTTTATCAAGCCTCTGAGATGTCTTACAAAAAGCTCCCTAAAACAGATGCATATTAAGGATACAGTGTATTAGTTCAGTAACAGTATATAAATGTACAAAGAGTTGTTGATGACCTGCGTACCTGGGGGAAACATGACACGACAACAAAACACAAGCACCCACACTTATTTATATTCATATTTGAAGACTACAGGGGAAAAAACGCAGTCACGTTTATTTATTATATTGACTTAAACCCAAAGGTTGCTTCATGACATTATAGTTTAGCATACTGCATGACAAGACATTTCGCAGAAAGAAAACAGCTAGGGCTGTGATTACTGTGAAGAAATAAACACAAAATTTGATCCAATTCTTTACAATACAAGAGGTCCCAACTATTAAGATTTTAACAAATCTTGGCCGTTCTTTTCCCTGTTGTCTTTCAATTTTTGTGGAACGTTCAGCCAAAACATTTTACACCTGCACTGACAAAACACACATCTCTACACTGAAAAACATTTTACACGTGCACTGAAGCCCGGGATTAGATCCGTTACCAAATATTTTACACTCCTATGGCAAAATCTCCTATTAACTATGAGGCAAGATGTTTCCATGTCGAATCCAACCCCTATTGTGAGAGATACTTTCCAGTGTACAGACAGACAGACACACTTAAATGACAATACATCTTCCCTCTCTGAAAAACAAGCATATCTTGTGAGCCAAGGTGGAGAGCCTAACAGAACTTAACCATTACTCCACAGATGTCAGCTATACCCGACCTCCGTAGCTGACACAACAGACAAAATTGAGACCGTTGAATACATAGACACTTTTAATTTCTAAAATACAGTTTAAAAACAAGTTTAGCAATCTATACAAGTACAAAATCCAGCGTTTTAGTTTTGAAGCCCATTGACATACATTGAAAAGGGCATGGCCTTCAAGGAAAAACTTGGCACTAGGTTTCCCCCCAGAAACTTGTCAGTCATATCATCATCAAAGAATGCCACATTTTAATTATAAAAAGAACAAATTTTTGTCAACTATTTATGTCATTTTTCGCAAAGTATTGCTTCATTGAAACTTTGGGGCATGCTTTGAAATATTCTTCTTCCATGTCTGATCCTATTATCAATGCGAAAAGTACTCCATATAAATCCTAAGTAAAATCAACTGGCACAAACATTTGCTCATGAAGAAAATCCAGACTATACA